GCACGATGACGGCGCGGCTCGATGGAGAGAACCTAATTGGAAGCGCTGAACCACGATCATAATAGCGCGAGTTAGAAAGAACCTGTTCAAAGTTCACGATCCTCGTCCAGCTTTTATTACCTCGGTCAATTCGGTCGCTGATTTCGAGTCGCGTAGTCTCATATCATCCAGGATTCGCGACAAGCTGCGACAATCCCTCGCGAGGAGAAGCGGCACGCGTCTCGGGTCGTTCATCGCGACTCGCGAAGTGTAAACGTCCAATGATGGAGTTGCCACTTCGGATCTCCAGCACAGAGCGTGGGAAACAATTGAGGACAGACTAATTCTTGCCCTAATGTGATTCCCTCACCCGATCGCCGGCGACTTCTCTGACAATCCCGCTGAGCGAGGAGAGTAAGAGTCGGACTCGAGCCGATTCCGGTGACCTATGGCATCGGCACAGTCTCCAATCGAATTTCATGTGCGTTGTCGAGTTTGACTGACGCTGAGGCGATAAGAACTCTTCGCGGATGGAAGCTTTTCGCCTCAACGTGTTCGTCGAGCATTCTCATCTACGAGAGAAGAATCCAGAGCTGGTCTTGAACAGCGCACTCCATCTCCACGAAGTATTAAGGAGGAATGTGCCAGAACAGATGCGAGTGATGGTAGAAGATGTTCGGGAAACACTCACAGGCGTTATCGAGAGACCTCATGTGAGCTCGGCCGCGCAAACAACATTCTTCTGTCGATCCATCGCTTTTATGTCGATCGTGGAAGATCGATTTCTCGGAGCTGCCACGTTCTGCTCGGGCTCTGGGAGGATATCGAACCGATTCCTCATGGACGACCTTGTGGTCGCATCTCATAAGCGAGCCGGTGGTAGAGCTCGCGGTGGAAGGGGCGGTCGAGCCGGTGGTATACGCGAATGAAACTCTCATGAGATTGATTGGGAGAATATCGCCGCGATCTCGATTCGGGATTAGCATTTTTCCCAAATGATGGAATATCTTCTCCGGGCCTCCGGAAATAATCTATGCATATAAAAACGTCTGTCTGTCTGTCTGTCTGTCTGTCTGTCTGTCTGGTGTCACTTATAGACTCGAAAACGACTGAACCGATCGTCGTGATTTGTGAGCGTGTTCTGTTGGATCCCCCGGTGGTCATAGGGGGGTCGGTTCTCCGATGCGATGTGTCCTTCCTCCTTGGGGTTCAGTTCTCCGATACGATGAGTCCTTCTACCTTAAAAAATTATTTGAGTGGTCCTACGACCAAAACTCGAACATCGATCCACATATGTCTGTCCGTTATCCGTCCGTCCGTCCCATAGAGGATGATTTGAATGGTCTGTCTGTCTGTTTGCCTGTAGAATCGCTAGACTCGGTAGGCTGAACTGAGACACAGAGACACTGATGCCGCGGCAACCGGATCGCTTTACCGGATCATCTTCCATACAGCTCGGTCGCATAGCGAAATTGTCGAGAGTTCTCAGACGGTTTTGGAAAACGCGTTGTTGCTCGGAGAGCCTGTTCGTTCGCCAGAGAGCGTTTCGGTTTTTTCTACAACGTCTGAGGGAAAGGGAGCTTAGCGGCGTGGATTCGGCAGACACTGTCGTCGAGACTGTCTCATCTTGAGAAAACGACTTCTCTGGACACGTCAACTTCCTTGAGTGAGTTGGATTATTCGCATTACTTTCCCTGAAAAGTCCTGGTTTTCCGGGACCCCAGCTGTTAAATGACGATGCGTCCTGCTCTTAGAGCCACACTTGACTGACTGTTTATTGTTGACATTGACAGACGATGTCGCAATCGGGGTTAGCAACGATGGTTTATTGTTAATTAGCACGGGCTTTTATAGAAGCGTAAGATGGCGCCGCTTCAATATGCACCAGAGATGTTCTCGAGTCTTTGTAATGGCGGTAGACTCCGAGTATTGATGTACCGGCGATCCCAGCTACTCAGACTTGGTCTTGCGTGGTCCTCATTCTTTCGGTAATCTGTCGACGATGGGCATCTATGGGGGCTTATTCTGATTCGGAATTTCTGTTCGATTTCGAGTAGGGTCCCGGTCTTCTAGGTCGCATTCCTTTCGCTACCCGGGAGCTTCAGGAGAGGACATATTCATGCGAAACAAGAGGCATTCCGCGTCGGGGATTTGTCCCCCTTTCCCTTTTAGTCTGCGATGCCATCATCATTTTCCCTTCAAGCAGTCGCTCAGTCGCTACACTGCCAGAATCGTGGGTGATGGGATTCGACCTATCTGCGGCAGAGGAGTGCGATGGGGTGAAATTCGAACACATGGCGCAAATCTCATGGGATTACATGGGGATGGGGACTCGATGACTGATCGGAAAACTCTCATAAGGTTCGTCTGCCCCGTGTCTGTTCACTTCCGACAAGATTGCCCGCCACGCGGAGACCGAATTCGCGTTTCCCTCGTCCCACGAGAACTCGTATGGAATTTTCTTTGCTTCAAAACCTATCGGAAGAGAAACTTTGACTCGGTAGTAAAATTCGCCAAATGGTTCGGAGAGGACCGGTCCGACCCGGATATAGTAGCAGGCCGCCAAATAGTCCCTATCGGCCTTGAGATTGAGGGGGATCGTCGACTCCTGAAAGTCCCTCCGAATTGTGCTGTAATTCTCTTCGCTCCCCGATACCGTGATTTGGAATTCCGCGTGGCGGGCAATCTTGTCGGAAGTGAACAGACACGGAGCAGACGAACCTTGTGAGATTTTTCCGTTCAGTCCCTATGTGCCCATCCCCATGTAATCCTATGAGATTTGCGCTAGAATTTCACCCCCTCGCACTCCTCTGCCGCAGAGAGGTCGAATCCCATCACCCACGAATCTGGTAGCGTAGCGACTGAGCGACTGCTTAAAGGGAAATCGATGATGGCATCGCAGACTAAAACGTAGAGGGGGACAAATCCCCGACCTTATCGCAGAATGCCTCTTGTTTCGCATGAAGAATGGATTGTAGCAGGTTGAGCTCATGGCTATTGCGTGACAGACGAAGAAAATCACGTTGTCGAGAGACGCCGAAAACGATGGTGCCGGAATATGGAAGTCCTCTCCTGAAGCCCCCGGTAAGCGAATGGAATGCGACCCAGAAGACCGGGACCCTCCGGACAGTGATTCCTGTCGTGTCCGCGCTCTTTTTAAAACAGCTACCAGAAACATCTTTCTTTAAGAGCTCGATAACGAAGTTAATTAAAGTCAATTCTATCTCCACCATCTTGTGCGCTAGACCTCGCGTGTTCAGTTCCCCGTGGTAACACAGCAATTCCGAATCAGAATAAGCCCCCCCTAGATGCCCATCATCGCCTGATCAGCGAAAGAATAAGGACCACGCAAGACCAAGTCTGGGTGGCTAGGATAGTCGGTACATCAATACTCTGAGTCCACCGCCATTTCAAAGACTCGAGGACATGTCTGGTGCATATCTACGACAACAGCCAGGGATCTGCCCTCCTGGCGCTTTCCAGAGCGGGCTCCCTACCCACTAGGGTCCACAGGTCACCCTTTTCCACTGACCCAGAAACGACTTGCAATAAGTGAGAGTGTAGCCCGAGAGACTAGAGCACACAATATTCAACTGAAATGACTGCTACTTCACGACAGAAGACCTCACAGACGACAGACGAATCAAACTGGGTTCGACCACAGAGCTGAGTCGCTCTGCTGCGGAGTCCACGAAGCGACTCCTTGAAAAGTGGTAGCGCGCGACCACTGGATCCGCTGAGCCCACTCGTGCCTGAATTGAGAGGTTCAGCTTGTTTTATCGTTCTTCACTCTATTCTTTTAGTTATCTTCGGGAGTACAATTGCGGTTTTGATCGACTCGGATCAATATGTCATCCGCGCGCCCGCAACCCGAGACTTTAAAAATCCAGAGGATTCTTGATCCAATGACTCGATTCCTCCTTCGTTTCAGATTTTATTGGACGTACCGTGCAAGAACGATCGTCGTTCGCTCTTCGAGGGAGAGAATAATGTTTTCAGGGGGCCCGGATACAGGAATGACTCCACCTCCCACAAACACAGTCGGCGATTCTGAAGTGCGTCTTGTCATGCCTGTCTCTTCGAAGAATTTTCCAAGTTATCCATCCTCGCGATCCAGTTCATCCTGCGGATAATCTGTTCAGGTTGCGGAGTGTGAGATTATTGAGTCTTGCTCAATTGAGACACGCCTCTTTCCATCCGCAGGCAAGCCCTCCAGAAATTGAGAGTTGGTGGTGCTCTGTGCGCTGGTGTACACGACGTGAAAGTTGTCCCCGATTCAGAATGATTCCGTGGTTTACATGAGTGTACAGAGCTCCAGAACCATGAAGTTCGTTGTCACGAATCTCGGACTGTCCTTCGAGCCTCTGCAGATGTATTTCTAGCTGCACTAATGTCGATACGGTCAGCTTGTCCTCCCTTACCTTCCGAACAATTTCGGACCTATGTACGTACGTCGAATCGAGCGAATTCAGTAATCGACGGCACAGTCATAGATTGGGAATTGATATTGAATCACCAGAATAAATCATGAACCGCTCCTACGTCTTTCTCCTTGATCATCCGTAAGGATATGGTTTTGCCTCAATGCTGAGCGAACCAGGCGGATCATAGCCAGATGCTTGGATAATTTCCAGGGACAGGGACGAACCAGGAAAAACCACCCCCTTGCCCTGCTTCTATTCTGATTGAGAAGGCCTACTCGAAGCGACGATCTTGAATGCGTTGCTCGAAAACGCGCGAAAAATCATTGTTCGCTCGTTACACTTTGGACTCGACTTTTTGATCGAGTCACGTTCGAGCTTCGTTTAAACATTTCGATCATGAGCTCAGTCCTCTGTCACGCGAGGATTCGACGTCTCGGCTCGACGATGGATCAACAGAGGCGGATCGATTCCAGCTCGTCGAGTTGTTACGCTCGGACAACACCAAGTTAGAAATCAGGCGAAAAAATTTTGGAACCGATTCTCATTCGATATCCCCAAAGCTCGTGTTGTTCCAACTTCGACAGGACGAGGTAGGATATGGCGTTTTCCCTCCTGATCCTCTTACTCCTTTGTGAAGCGTGAGTCGTCCCCGCAATATTTTTTCAATGCGTGAGCGCATTCCTGGACCTCATCGGTGTCTTATGGAATCGACTACTCTAGAACTTCGTCCAACTCGATTCGAGAAGGAGAAGAGCAGCTGCGTCAGAGAATTCTAGAACTACTGAAGCCGACCCACGTACTGGATCTCGGTACGTCGGATCAGAGGAAAGCGCGGGCGGACTCACTCCCGCTGACTTCTTTTCGCGTTTCAAAACGATTGCCTTCAAAATTCGTCATCGAATCACGATAAAGTTCGAGCCTGATTGATAACTATTCTCTCCCGGATTAAGCGAGGGGGACTCTGAACGTGAGCGTGGACATCATCGTCGACTCAGTGACCGACCTCAAAATACTTCGAATGGTACGTACCCCGCCCGAGAACCTCTTCTGAACATAAAATCTTCCTCCACCGTAGGAACTTGAGAGCTGCGACTCCGGAAAGCTCCCTCTTGCAGGAGTTCGAGGTCAGGTTGAGGCTCTTCCTCACCTGGGAACTCAATGACGACACGCTGGAAATTTGTTATCTGGAGGCTGAATCAGCGGGAGCCAGTCGTCTGTCTGTGGATCAGGGTCACGTCGTCCTCGCCACGGACGATGTGAGGATGGATCCTGAGAAATTCTATCTATGTAGATGGTTCTTCTTGTTTTCCACAGCTCAAGTCCGCTGAACATTTATTCCCAGCTCTCTCTCATATGGGTACCGCAGGTTTATTTCGAAGAGGCCAAGTTGATCACAGTTCCGTCAGAGACCGTGAGGCCTGTGGGCGTCCGTTATTACCGCGATGAAAGAACATCAAGATATTACAAGGAATTCTCTGGAACGTGAGTGAGGCCTTCGACGATGCCGAGAAATGATCGATCAACGAGAATTAAATAATCCATTCAATTTGAAGATTCGTGGTCTCGGTCGGCTGCAATCTCGATCTGACGCGATTCCCCTTCGACGAGCAATTGTGCCCCCTGACGATCAGGAGCTGTGAGTTAAAGTCGCCGACGGGATCTAAGTAATGCCCGAAGGACTCGTCCGCGAGGAATAACTTCGAGTTTTTCGTTGAAGTCTCACATCGAAATTACGAAGTCGGCATCTATCCGCGAGGTCTTGTGGTGGATGAGGATTTGGAACTGAGTGAATACACTCTCACGATCAGGATGTCTTCTCAAGAAATCCAGCATCCCTCGTGGGGTAGCCGTGGCGGAGGATTGGAGCTCATTCTAGAGACCTGTTCGAGCAGGCTATCAGCCCGAGGTACGGTGGCGGAGCTTTATGTCTTCGTTGATTCCTTCCAGACGGCGTATTCCAAGGAGTTCAGCTTTCCTTCCGCTTCGCTCGTCGGCTACCGCATCAGTTTCTGATTATGTATCTCCCTTCTCTGATAATCGTTGGTGTTGCATCTCTGTCTTGGCTGCTCCCATTGAGCGCATCGATCGAAAGGTTGACTCTGATTATCACGGTCACTCTGGTCATGTATACTCAACTTGGAAAAATTCGATCGAGCGTGCCCACTACCTCATACGTCACGGTGAGTGCTCGCGATCCACTGAGATGCGTCTCCGCATAGCAGGGGGTACAGTCTTCTCAGTGAAATCATGAAAATCTAATGAAATCCCGAATCCTCCGTGAATGAAATCCCGAACCCGTTTTGCCAACAGTTCGGTGACATCTGGATTTTCGCATGCACGCTTTTCGTTTTCGGAGTCACGGTAGAGTGTTCCGTCATGGAAGGACTCTACGAGAGGCAGAAGCGGAAGGAGAACAAAAACGTAAGGATGGCTCCGCAAGGACGATGAACCCTCCCCGCCTCAGAGGAATTCGTCGCGAATGATGACTTGTGACTTGTGACGACGTTTGGACTAATATTCGATTTCCTGATATACTATATCTTGGTTATGGATTCATTCAATGTCGGGGACCGGTACGGGGATCGACTGGAAATGTGAGCTTGTTTCTTCAGCGTCCCTCATCGGCTCGGGATACTAAAAGGAAGCTTTTCGCAAAACGCCACGAAGCTCCGTTCCCCACAAGGCGAAGCCCAAGAATGCCCCAAAACTTGCCAGTGAGCGTAACCTGAGTTCTAATTCTCCACGGGATTAATGAGTGAACCCGATAGCTTCGTCCAATCACCAAATATTCCCAAATCAAGGGTTGTCAGACGCGGTTCCCTCCATGCGAGTCACTCAATTCGAAACGGACTGTTGCGGTGGGCAGTAGTTCTTCAGACACCTATATTACTCTTCACCTGATCGAAAAATGGGATCGCCGGATCAGGAACGCGATGCTCGTTACGTTCATTCTGACGTCTGTCGTTTATTGGATCCTGATGTGGATAGAAATGAACTCTGCGTGAGGCCCGGTCAGGATCGACGAGAGCCGCACCTTCCTCACCACGTTCCCTGAACGACTCAACGAGCCCGGAGAAGATTCCTGAAAAGACCCAAAGAAGGTACAACTGGATGAGGAAATCGATATCGACGGGATCTATAGGGGACGCGCACTGAAGACCGATCATAATGGGGGAAATCAGGGGCTTTCACTCAGACTTCCTGCCGTGATGTACATTCGACGCGTTCGCATATGCGGCACACATAGCTCGCAGGCTGAAGCGTGACCAACACGTGCAGGTGCAACTGCTCGACTCCTCATTCCGGGACAGATAGCGTGAGAGCGAGCTTCCTCAGAAATCACGATGACTGAAAGGTTGAGCGCATACAAGAATCGGGGTGAGCTCACTGAAATATTCGTTCGTGTGGTTCGTGAGAGTGTTTCGTGGTCTATCTGGTGGTCTAACCAGACAGGATCCCCTCTCGAAAATCTTAAGGTAAGAGAGAGGAATACATGAAACGGATGAAAGCCGAAGCCGTGGAACTCCGAAAAGCGAAAAAAGATGAGCATCTCACGAAGAGGAGAAATTTGCACGACCACGACGAAGTAGACGATCTCGAGCTGGATGATCTCGCTTTCGAAGCTACGGATGACGTGCTGGACAAGCTCCCGGATATCGTGAGCGGTAATTCGCTGACAGAAAACGTTTGGACGTTCGATATCTATTCGCCAATCCCTCAGCGAGGAACTAAAGTCTGATTTTCGTACTGTCTCTACAGCGCTGTACAGCGAGGATCCTGAGAGGATCTTCGAAGCGACTCGAATCTCGCGAAAGATACTGTCAAGGAAAACGAGTCCCCCGATCGATACATTTATCAATGCCAATACGATCCCACGATTCGTCCAGCTGCTCTACGCCGAAAGTCCAGCGCTCCAGTTCGAAGCAGCGTGGGTGCTTACCAACGTAGCGTCCGGCAACGAATCGCAGACCCGAGCCGCACTCGAGGCAGGGATCAGTGATGCCTTCGTCAGGCTGCTCGACAGTTCCTCACCCGAAGTTGTCGAACAAGTTCTATGGGGGCTATCCAACATCGCTGGTACGGGTGCGGAGTATCGAGACCTCCTCCTGCAGATGGGTCTGCTACCCGTCCTCGTGAAATTGGTCGAATCTACGAACTCCCGCTCGTTACTGGCGACCGCCGCTTGGTGTGTCAGCAACCTGTGTCGGAAAATGGGGTCCCTTCCTGAATATAAAGCGCTGCTTCCCGCAATCCCGGTCCTCACGAAGCTCGTACAGCACGATATGTTCGTATATTACATGCATATTCATGTTCCGGAAACGCAGCCGAGGTACACGACGCTAGTCGATTTTTTCCGATTGCAGGGTTGCCGTCGCGAGCGATGCCTGCTGGGCACTTTCTTACTTCACAGACGGCTCGAACGAGCGAATCGAGGCCGTTTGCAGGGCGGGGGCCGTACCACCGATTATCAAGCTGCTCCGGAACTGCACAGATCCGAGCGTTCTGATCCCGGCCCTCAGAGTCATCGGTAACATCGTCACTGGAGACGACCGTCAGACCCAGATGGTGATCGACGCTGGCGCGCTCAGCGCGCTGAAGAACCGATTCGAAGTAGGAGCGGAGGCCACGAAGAAAGAGGTGACAATCGAACGAATTCTCGACCCTTTCACGATCGATGCTCTCCTCCTCGGTGAGCACCACCGTATCGGTATTCCCATGGATTTGAGGTCTCCACGAGCGTGTCGATTCCAATTCTCAGGTGATCTGGGCACTTTCGAATGTTTTGGCCGGGAACGTGGTGCAGATCGAAGCCGTACTCAACGAGGGCTTGATGGAACCATTGATCAGAATGTTATCGGTCGGAGACTACAAAACTCAGTTGGAAGCAACTTGGGCGATCTGTAACTTCACTTGCGGCGGCACTCCCGTACAGATCTCGCAGCTCTTCGAATACGACACCATTGCGAGCCTTTGTCACATGCTGGAATTCGTAGATGCCCGGCTCATCAAGGCTATCCTCGACGCGTTCGGAAATATTCTGCGCGCTGCGCAGAGTTTAGATTCCTTGCCGGATGTCATGAACCTTCTCGATGAAGCCGGCTTCGTCGATCGCGTGGAAATGCTTCAGATGCACGAGCTCGAGGAGGTAAAGCAGGAATTCTCTGCTTTCGACGCCGATCTTTGCATTCTCCCACGATTCCAAGGCAGCAGTTTCTCATGCTATTGTGTTTTACAGATATACAAACGCGCGGCCAATCTCTTGGGCCTCTATTGGAACGATTGCTCGGACGATGATGAAGTAATAGATGACATCAATCCCGACGGCTCTCGGCGTTTCGGAATCCCGGAAAGCTTCTCAGATATCGTCATGTGACGATCCAGATCAACCTGCAACATTCTGACGTGACCTGTTGATTAGAATTTGTGTACAAGGGGCACGTAATATTGGAAAGGGGGAGACTGAACTTTTATGCTTCAAGATTATAATTCGAGGGAAATCAGCTCTATGTCATCCCCCTCTCCTAGGGTGGGAGACACCCTTTGGTGAATATATATTTTTGTTCGTTCAAGTCTGACTGGACTCTTCATCATTGGGGAATGAAGTTCGAGAGGAAATAAATTCTTCCATGAAATCTCACTGATCCCTGTTCCTAGATGGGGCTCCAGAGCTCAGTATCAGTCAAAGGTCAGTGCGTGTTCGCGGCTCTACGACTTGTGAGCTACGCTCGAGTCCATGGAGCAGGACGCCGTCTTTCTCTCGAGAGCGAGGCTCGGCATCCTTCCATGATAATGACAAATACAGAAAAAATGGTTTCCCTCGGCTGTACTCTCCTGTCGTTTGCTGAACACGGAGCAATGAACCGTTCGATCGACGGTGGTATTCCCTGATAATGCTGGTGCATAGGGCGAGCCCGATCAGTTTGGCAATCGATAATAGACTCCGAAAGCGGGATAACAGCTACCCGGTGCTGTTTGCTATTTTCCTTCCCGGCTCGAGTGAGCAGTTCAGTTCCCAGGCCTCTCGGAGAGGTCTAGTGATTAGTAGACCTCCAACATACGAGGACGTGTCCTTTTCCGTCCTTTCGTCCGCTTTTCGCTCGCAATCGAAAATGGTCCGCTCTCAAGGTTTGTTCTGCCGAATCGCGTCTTTTTCACATCAAGGAATCTAGCGCCCCGGTCGACAGATTGAGCGATCTCGACTTTCGATGCGTGAGACGCTATTGAGTAGTATGAATCTATGGGTCCCGAAAACAGAAGACGCTCCTTAGAATGACACCCTTTACCATAGGTTTCAAGACAACGAGCAATGTGTATCTCTTCCTGTAGTGGGCTCGCAGTAGAAATGACGGTGAGCAACATTCGTAGCAGCGGTAATTCGCTACTGCGAACTGGTTCCGTCGGCCCATTTGTGCTCCTTGAGACGAGCTTCTGCCGTCTTCATTTCTATGGAGCGCCAACGGAGGACGGTTCTTCTCGGTGTACGAAAATAACGCTACGGATCGGTGACATAGCTTGTCGCGATCCATCTCGAGGAGATTCCTCTTGGTTCCTATCAGCTCAAAGACTATCATAGGAAGTTCGAATCACCTGCGATAACACGGAAAGCTCAATCTCGGCCATGTCCGTTTTCCAACTCGTTTTTCACTCGAATGTCCGCCGGACAAGCGTCTGCTTCCCGTCGCGAAATGTTCTCTCATATGGGACGTCTAGTGATTAGAAGTAAGCGTCTTGGTTCATTCCAGAAAGTAGCCGACGAGTTCGACGAAGTGATTGGGCTCCTGTCAGAACCGCGAGGGCATTGCTGCTGGTGAAAGGATTGCAAGGCCCGATCTCGGATGCTGGCGACGAGGCTCCCCGCAGCTCTCTGATTAATAACTGGACGGAACTCGCCTCTCTCCACCTCGAAATCTCGCCTACAGTGAAGTTCGAGAGATATCTTGGGATCGGAGGGCCAAAAGCGATCGGAATGAGTCGACAAGCTACGTCCAGTGATATTTGAATCCTCCTGTAACGCTCTTAAGTGAGAGCCTGAGTGATGACTCTTCTATTCGATTCTCTCTCCCTTCGATCCTGCCTACGACACGAAAGTCTGATTCCATGGGACAGCTAGTTGTATGCCTCGATGAATCGGGGACTCGATATTTCCCCATTCCATCCCACACCCAGAGTCTAGCAGACGTTAAACTCGATTCCTTCCTCATTTATTATTGACGATTCCCTCTCAAAATTTCCCCGTGCATAGAACTCGGACAATATCCGAGACACTGCTGTTCCGATCGCTCGAGTGATGACCCAATCTTGACTGACATCGATTTGTGCCCAAGAATACTGGCACGGCAGACGCTTCGCGCGGGAATTTCAGCGATTCTCTCAGGATTCCTTCCCTACCACACGGACCAGGATGACGCAGAGATGGAGGCACGAGGGTTCCGACCCGTACGGTGACGGTGCTCCCGGAAGTACGTCGAGCTCTAACGATCGCTGGAGGTGCCCTATCAGACGATGGGATCTTCAAAGACTGACATCTGATCCCCAGACGCCTCGGTGTCCGTGCGAGATATCGTTCCTTCTCTCAGCAGACATTCAGACTGTGACGGCACTTCAACTCGAACCTTCGGCGGGCAGGCTGGTGTGTCTTCTGAAATCGAGGCGTCCGAATGAGCATCCGAAGAATTTCGCGGTAAGTCACGATTCTGCTATAAGTCACGCGGGCTCCAAATCCTGTGGGACGTCGGACTGACCTCGAACAATTGGAGGATCGCCCAGATGCCAGTTGACCAAGATTTGAATGATAGTGAAAGCCAATCCGTAGGCGGTGAAGTAGAGCATGGTCCGCCTCTTATTGATGTCGAACAGTAAACCGCATGCCACGCTCCCGACCGCGATACCTGAAGAAAAAGAGCGGCGGGGAAAACTCAATCTCGTGGAAAGTTCCTCCCCGGAAGGGGAACAGTCGTAAGGATCCGGCCGAATTTCGTGAGCGAAATCTAGGTCCCGAACAATTCTCGCGTGACTCACCAGCTCCTTCGAACATTCCGCTCACGATTCCTTGAACAGTTGCCTCCGTTCCTCTGGGTGCGATGCGATTAGCGTAAAGAGTCATGGCCGAGTAGAAAAGACCAAAAGAGAGTCCATGCAAGATTTCCGCCGGCAGCATCATCCACGGGTTGGATCCGAACGCGTAGATCCCGAGTCGCAAGACGGTTCCCGCCACAGACAACGACATCGAGTGTTTGAAGCCTAGCTTAGTAATTATCCACCCCGAGAAGAACATCACGGGAACTTCGCCCAGGAAACATTGAACTGTCAGTTGCAGACCGAGTAATGTCTGAGGCGCCCCCATGTCCTTGAAGTACATAAATGCGTACGACCATATCGGGCCCATCAGGGTGCCCTGCACGAACACTCCGAGTACGAAGAAAAGAACGTGTTTTGATCGAAAGAGCGTAAACAAATCGCTCAGCATGTTCTGAGACGCTCGAGAGGTTTCGGGAATGTCTAGGAAGCACACAGCGACAAGATCTAGGAGCGAGATGATGGAATTGAAGTAGAACCCCGGCCCGTAGTTATGTGTGCGTCCTTTTGAGAAGTATTGGTTCATGATCCCGATAACAGGGGCCAAGCCACCCCAGGCGATTGTTCCTTTGGGGAGAAAGAACAGCTGTCAGAGACTCAATCAATGAATAAAACAATCTGGTCGCCTGCTCAGGGACGTCCAATCCTAGGATGGCTCACCCCATAGTCGTTGTCTGCCGTAAAGTTCTTTCTGGTCGCCGAGGATGGCGTAGGTGGCCGTGTCGGACAGTGAGAAGGTGACTGCGGCCAAGCCTCCCGAACATATTCGTAGCACAAAGAACACCCAGAACTGCCATGTGTAGAGAGCTGAGACCTGACCGTTGCGAACTTCCAACGAGCAGCAGGAGGCATCGTTTTGCGCACAAGGGCTTAGTGTGTACGAGTCGAGCGCTTCTCTGAGACAGCTGGAACAGTTCAGATCGAGACATTTGTGATGATTAAACACTCATCTCAATCGCTTGCCATCCTGAGGAAGATGTTTGTGAATCTTGACATTGAACGAGTAGAACTCACATCGAGGGCTCGGCGTCAGAGCAATTACAGACTGTTCTGTACTCCGACTCCTTGCTGAAAGGTTCGACCGAATCCTCTACGTGCGCTTGCCAAATGTCTCTCCTGACTATGGGTGTTATACAGGTGTAGATGGCTATGTGGAACACAGCTTGTAGTAGGACCACCTGTAGCGGTATATGTAAACATCTTCGAGAGGGGGTTCTCGATTTTCTCAGGTAGCGCTACAGCTCAATGACGGCATGACCACGAGAGTCGCGACGTGCTCTGAGGCCAGTCGGATAAACGGACCTTGAAAAGGAGAAGTTTGACTGCTCGGTACTTGTCCGCCAAGCTTCCCATGAAGAATTTCAAAAACACTGAACACAAGAGCATGATTGCGTTTGTCACTCCGACCAACCCCGCGGAGATTCCGAGTGACTCAGCATGGATGACGATGAAAGGTATTACGCCCACCAGAGCTGAAATGAGAAAGTGTCTCAAACATCGACGAAGCACCCGTGCTTCCTCAGGATCCTCCCGATCGGAATGGATAATTTCCTTGTCGCTCCGAGTGATTCCCCAGCCCGTCAGTCTACGATTTGTTTGAGTGCGAAATGCCCATCGCAGGTCGCTCTCCAGACTTCAAAGTCTGCAAGTCTCGTGACTCCACTGGCGTCAGTCTCACTCCAGCTTCTGAGAAAGGGGCGCTGATTCTCACGATTTACTCACCTCCAACACTGAGGAAGGTGTGAATTTTCACCGGTAGCAGTTTTCGATTGACGATTGCGCACAAAACATTCCGGGGCTCTTTTTCCACGAGCTTCATTTTGGTCTCGCTGCTTCCCACGGGTCGTCAAATCATTGGTTGATGATCTCGTCTCAGATAGTTGCCCGATGCGTCCGGGAACTTGAAATAGAAGAGGATCGGCCTCGGAATCGCGAGAGATCCAAGTTCGAGTTCGTAACTAGCCGCGCTCTCAACAACAAGTGGTCAGCAAGCATGACCGATATCGCGCATGGAATACCACGGCGACGCGTAGGAGCCATCACGGTCGTCTACACTCGGAACGTTCCTCTGAGCAATCTTCAGTACCTTAGGGGCGTGCCATTTTTAATTTTCTACTTACGTCCGCCTATCGATTCAGTTTCACCGGACAGCTGTATCGCATCGCTGAATCGGAGTGCTCCTGTGCCGAGGAGAATAATTTAGAGCGAATTTGATGCGGCAGAATCTGGAAGACCAAGAGTCTTGGAGATGAGTCCGCTCTGATTGAGTGTTGGGTGGGCTGCTGCGCTGTTCAAAGCATCCAAATGATACCGTCATCTGCAGCCCTCACGAAAGAAAAACAATTGCGGTGGAAGGCTTCGGATTACAACTTGCCACAGGCTCGGATCCCATTTGTTGAGAGAGCGCACGAGCGAAAGAAGAAACTTCGAGCAGACAATTATCCCGTAGTCGCCTCTTAGATTCGTCTCGACAGCGTACATATGTGTTTCACGGTCACAATTTCTATTTAGAGATTAGAGAGTAGCGCTCGATCGGCACCCGCTCTTTGGCGGCAGAATTGACATGCGCGCGAATGAACAATTACATGATTCGCGATTCCGGGACGGCTGCGCCTGATTGCGTCTGTCTTCATGAATCGTGAGGAAAAATTGTGCTCTTCGCTGACCGAAGACGATTGCTTATCAGCTCAGCAGCTTATTCCCTTCATACGGGAGCCACCGGCATCTTGGCCGCGAGACACGTGCTCTTCAAAGTCGAAGCTATTCCGACAATGCGCCTCGATGCTCTTCTGTGGCAGTTCACTCTCCGGCGTCTACCGGAAGTATTCTACCGTGCAGGCTCGATTTTCATGAAAATGGAAACGATTTCCAACCGTACTTACATCAATAAATTGTCGTGGCGAGATCTCAACAAGCATCGCGCGCATCGGACGGTCCGCAGCCATCAACGTGGCGGCGTTCCGTAACGTCTAGAACTCACATGCTCTTTCCCATTGTCGAAGATGGAAGGCGCACGGCAACTTCCGCCGTATCCGACTCCGATCAGAGTCGAGTCACCCATTCTCGGTACGGATCTTTGGTTTTGAGTCTAGGAAAACTATGTTGATCCATTCTCCCTCCGAGGAACATCATCCCTCCGATAAACATCCATGAGCTAGCAGAAAAGGAAAAAAAACCGAACTGTTATCGTTGAAATCTCTCTGTGTGTGAAGAACATACATACGCATAGTACTCTGGAGTAGGGGGAAGGGAACACTCAAGAGTCTAGAGGCGAGAGCTCAGACGAGAGTGAGAACCCGGGTGGCGAGAGCTTATAGCGTGCTCGGGACTCCGGTCTTCCTTTCCGGAAGGAAGGAAAACAGAGGGAAGGACCGAGGCTGGAAAGGTCGTCGGATTCTCACAGAAGCCTTGACTCGCCGCGCTCGGTGAGCGGGAGATTCGAACAATGTGGACGGAGGGAGACGAATTTCGTTTCCCGGTCCTCCGGCATTCGCAATGAAGAGGCTCATTTCGATGGATCTCAAAAGGGTCGACTTTTCTTTACATTCGCAGCTCGACACAAATTCGTTTCGGCTTCGCTCTCGGGCAAGACACCTCCTACGAGAGGACTTGATCCTGCATTGGGGTTCCACGCAAAAACTCCGTCGTGTTCGGAGCCAGGGGAATTTTTCGGCTCGAAGCGACTATCGGTGATCAGTTCACTCAGGGGCACTGTCTGCAATTCCAGAACGAGTTCGCTCGAAATTCATCGTTCGAATTCAGTGAGAGTACTCAATTGCGCAATTCCAAGAACGTCTTCACACCCAAGGATCGCTTGTCATTGAATCATTTACCTGGAATAAATCGTGAACGTCGAGCGAACAAATCGGTCAAGCTCGTGAGGGACTTGGACCCGAGGGTGCCTCCACAGTCACGGTCAAGTTAAAGGTCGAATTCATCAGAAAAGCCGTCGCCATTCTGATCCCAGAAGCTCAGCGGACATCGTACCTCTACGTGGAATCCGCAAAAGTCATGTGGCTTCGACTCGAAGTATTCTGTGAGATATTTGATCAAATCCAGGAGTTTCCGGGCAGCAGTGAAGCCGTGGAGACGGAATCTTGAGAACGTTCTTCGTTCCATCATCAGTTCGGGCTTCAGTCCCGTCTCCTTCCCCAGAATTTCCTTCCACTTCCCAGGATTGCAATCTCGGTCCGATCTCTTCGTAATCTGCGAGTCTCGGAAGAACAACGGTTCGTAATTTGTGTTCAATGATTCTCAACGATATCGGCTGGTACTCGTTATACGCATCCGCTGCACTTCTGCTTCGATCCGAAGGTAGGGTTCGGCATCGTAAGTTTCCGTATAGGTCGGAATTGATGGACCTCATAGCTCTGATTTTCTCCTAGCCAGGTAGAGATGACTGTTTCCGCGCTGGTGTCGCTATCGAGTGCTTTTTCAGCGACACCATGAGTAGACACTGAGAATCACTTCCTTGTTCGACAAAGACAGAGAGTCACTCACGGTGACATCAATCGCTGAGAACGTATCGACGAGGCAATTTACCCGAGCGTGACACGAGATCACATCGCCTTCAAACACCAGGATATCAGCGGCAACGATCTGAATATCTCTCGGCTCTGCGCCCCAGAGTATCAGGCACATATGACGCGTACGCACGAGAGCCTCCAGTTTGCTGTAATGCTCTTTCCGTTTAGTTTCCTATTTTTCTCGTATTTCAACTTTTGGAATTGGTGACGGTGATTGACTCGTTCGCTCGTTATACCCAGAGGACGATGCTCACCTGAGGATCCGGCACCTCCGGAACAACGATACGCTATCGAAAGGATGTTTGATGATACAGAGGGGGGGATATCCGACAATTCCCATCGCCATCCTCAAGCAGCTGCGATCTTCTTTCGTTAACTCGATGGCAGGGGCATAAGCGACACTTTTCAGCTCGAATAGCTCCAGAATTCCGAGAACATGATTGGTTTGATTGGTCACCCCACGGAGGGTACTCATATGATGCAGCACGCACGCAGGAGATCGATGTCTGCTGAGGAGGCCCTCATCGAATATCGAAGAGATGTCCCACGGTCTCGGATTCTTTGGCCTTGTTGGATGAGAGAAGACGAGCTTGTTCGGGTAGAGGGCTAGAGCTCTCAGGAACGCCTCCAACTCAGACCCCGAGGGTGCTTCGGACGCGGCGATAATCGACCCACTTCCGAAGGAAAAAGCTATATGTTTCGCTTTTCCAGAAAATTCAGGCGGTTCCAATGAATATATCCCGCGGATAGTTGCGCCTGATGTCAGCGGGAGAAGTTTTCCTGAAGCTTTGTCATCCCCGCTTGGCGGTCCGCTCTTCTCCGGTGAATTTCCCTTCTGGACCTTGACAGAATGGATGTGATCGATGGCTTTCAAGGCGGCGATAAGAACGAGTATCAGAGCAACGTTGCAACAAGTCGCGAGAGTCATCAGAGTGGGGTTCGAACAGCTCAGACTTCGCACGTCACGGCAGTCGATATCGAAACAGGCGCTCGTCCTGGCCTCCGATTGGAAAGCCGAAGCGTACGGCGCGATTCTATTGATCCCCTCCAGACAGCACATCTTGTATAAGGGGAACATACTCGAGAGACAGCCCGTCAGATAATTGGCGATTGGCAGGATGATCCACATTTCGTTTCTTCGAGCCACACTATTGTACAGCGTCAGTTGGAAGGCATTGAGTATCAAAAGACCCCAGAAGAGGTCGATTTCTTCCTTCAAGACACTGCCCAATATGCGGCCAAGCAACATGTTCTGGCACCCTGGAACGATGTCCGTGATGCTTTTGGTAATGGGCACTTCGAGTAGAGGAAGGGGGGGAAGACGGATCGAAATCATTGATATTTTCTAATATTTTCTCCCCATTACATAGGATGAAATTCAGCGCAAATATCTTCCTAGCCCATTCCCAGAAACAGGGCTGCCACATCTGGGTGTCGATGAAGATCGCTAAGATCGCGGCAGTCAGCACGAAACTCATCAAGAGACCCAGGAGAGTGTCGGTGAAAGCAACGGAAAAGTGCATTTGTGCTCTAGTGCAGCCGCTTTGTTCCTGGAACTGCGAATGAGAAAGATTCAAGCTTTGGGGGGTTCTCACAGTGTCTCACATCGCTCCATCCCGTCTGAGGTGCTGCTTTCTAATACAAACCCTCCGGTAGCCAGATCGTTTTTCTTGGAGCAGTTGGCTTCCACACACGAAGCCTTGAAATGTCGACAAGAGCACCGCCATGGTCCCAACGATCTATCGCAGAGGAATTATGCCACTCACGATTCGATAGACTTGAAAATTCACCACGAAATCACCAAGGAGTCCGCACAGCGCAGTCACCCGCTTACCTCGTGCAGCCAACCCTCGAGAGCTCTCATCAGAATGTCGGATATCATTTTGTCGAAGCCGCTGATGAAGTAATTCATCACGAGCACTGTCGATAGATGATATATACAATGTTCCAATGTGCAGATCGGCGTGCCCTAGTGAAGACGCCCCTGCTACATCTCCATATCCAAGTATGACAAGTCCAGGTTTCTGTAGATGATGTGGTTGTGAAACTCACCCGATGATTCTTCCCTCCTATACTGGTCCTCGAACAAGTTAAGTGCGATAACGCTCATCACGGAACATGCGAGAAACATAGTGGAAGTTTCAGAATTCAGGCTTTGCAGGCGTGACTTTACGAACGACGGAATCACTTCCTCGACTTTTGGCTCTCCGATGTCTATAATTGCTTGGTTCTCGATAGTGGTGTCAGGATCGATGCTTCTCAGGTTCCTCGATCGTAAGCCTTCGATCACGTCACTCACAGTACTGCCTGACATCTACATGAGAAGTCGGAGCAGGGTAAAAATTTTCCCGCTCAACACGGGGACTCCCGGCATGTTTTCGGAGGAAATCGAAATAGAATGCCGACCGATGAGATGGGGCGGATCATAGAGCTCACTGAAAGTCGTAGAACTGAGAGTCTATAGGGGTTCCTGGTGAATCCTACCTGCCAATGACGAATTTTCTTTCGTTCACGAAGTCTTTCAAGCGCATTCGAGATCTTTCCGAGCTGTCTGACCTCAACCATGGTTCCCGTAACGAAGACCATAACTGATGACGTCTCTGTGAGCAATCTCGCACCTTGGCAAGTATTCTGCACCGATAGGAAGAAGTCCGCACGCTCACCTGCAGTCTGAAAGGAGTCTCTCAGACACTACGCGAGCTCCGAGAGGAGAAAGTTCAGACAAAAGCCTCACCAGCTCAACACCACGGAGTGTGAAGTGGTAACCCAGGCCGTATTTCGACGAGATCTCCGAAGCCGAGCCCTGGCACGGCGGATAATCTCTCGAACAGATCACAATTTGGGACGCCCACCGGTACTCTCTCGCGTTGTCGCCGCGACAGAAGATCATGATACGGTGACAGCTTTCGAGGCTCTGCAAGAACCTTATGATTGTTCCGCTCCTTGTAAGCGTCAAGCCGCGCAGAGGATCTTCGATTATCAAGTTCTGAAGAGGAAGATTCGACCCTGAGAACCATCCGACCGCAGCGAGACAGATAGAGAGAGTCTACTTGAGGAGCGAAGTCCGCTGCGTTTTCCTCCATCCGAGGAGCCCTTCCTCTTTCTCGAGACCGCTCTGATGGATTTGCTGCCCCGACGGTGATTCTCATCCGTAGAGCCGTCGCCCACGTATATACAGGGTTATTCGGAATCCTTGACGAATAATTCCCATACGAATTTTTCGATCGAGTATAAACTTTTTTATCAGACGCAGGGTCTCACCTCCGGTTCGCGGAGGAGCATGACAGCCAATCTCGCGAGGAGTCTCTCATATGCTTCAAGGTCTCCGAAGAAGCTGTCCAAAATCGGCTCCAAGCTCAAGTTTTGTTTCTGGAAAGTATCCAAAACTCTCTGCACGGCGAGCGCCGCTGTGT